AAAGGAAATTTTCCGGTTTATTATAACCCAGAGAATAAGCATTATTGGGTTGTCTGAGATGGCGGCTTAAGTAGGGGCCTAATGACATACAGGTAGTTATGTGATAATGTTTAAACAGCTGCAGGTATTAAAGATGATGAAAATTGTCTTAAGTCGCCAAAAGCAGGCAGTGCTGACAGTCAGTATTATCTTAAACCGATCATATGAACTACTATGGCTGAAACAGAGTCAACAGACGCAGGTTTTGGTTAAGTGTAGAACAAACAGGTTTCACAAGTTGCAATCATTTTTTTGGATCAAACGATGCTCTGGAAAGGAAAAAATTCTAGACCTAAAGCAGTACAGGGAAGTTCATATACTCGAGGAGGGCTTCCAAAAACAAGGAAATGAGATCTGTTTTCATACAGAATGAGCACAAAACATCCTCCGCGGCAGTTCTATGTTATTTTTACGATATGAGCAAGGGATTAGAGGTGAGAGTTAATGGAGGTTTGCATCGGGCGGCGGTAAACGTCGATGAACTAAAAAACAGTACCAATGCAGATCTGAGAAAGGGGATAAAAAGAACTCACAAATGCGGACGAGCTGCGGAGGGTCGCCGTCATTTTCTGGTCCGAACCAGGGTGATGCAGCGGCCTAAGTCGATGAAGACGAGGGGTTCGACGGCGGCGGCAGCAGAGCTTGAGCAGCGAAGAAAGGAGGTGCGAGGAAGAAGACGACTGAAGAAGGAGAATGGGAAAGGACCTAGGTCGCGCCTATTTATAAGGAAGGACCGACCAAGACGGTGCAAAAAACGAGGAGACCAAAGCATCATTATCCAACGGCCCTGACGCCTCGATTCTCGGGATGGTCAGTAAAGGCAAAGATTCGTTGGAGGACATGATGGACTAAAATATGAAATTTATTGAAGATGACGTCACAGAGATTTGACCCGGATCCAGATGATGACGTCACGGCGGGTTAGAATTTCCGCACAAAACCGAGGACTAAGGGCTAGTTTATAAGGTTTTTTAAGATTGACATAAACCGGTTCAAATCAATCTGGGGCCTAATGTTGGGGATATAATTATGTACGTAAGCCGGCCAGGAGGGGCCGGGTTACGCAAAGAGAAGCCCATCTGAAGCCCAAGACCAAGATGTGAAGATGACGGTTCAGTAAAGGGTCTAAAGGCCCACAGACGATTTAGGGCCCATGGTGATAAGCCACCATGAGGGCGCAACTTGTATTGTAAGGTAGAAATAACTAGTCACCGAGCCGGACACTGTTTATGAGCCGGCCGGGACTCTGTAAGCCGTAGGGCGTCAACCCGTGTATAGAAGGAGACGACCCGCTGGCGGCTTAGGGACAAGAAACAAGAGATTGAGAACCGGGCATAGCGTATCTCGCTCCCTGGTCATCGAAACCTCAAGCAATTCCAACCCAACTAGACGTAGGCCTTCCTTCACCGTAAGGGGCTGAACTAGTATAAACCTCGCGTGTCCTTTGTCCCGATTAACCCCTTTAAGCTTCCTAGTTGCGATGGCTCCACGATCAAGTCCTTGCAAGAGGACATCTGCCGTGATAATTCCACGACAGTATACCTCACTCGAAGCTATATTTTTGTTCTTCACTTAATATATGTTTTTCTTGGAATGTATTTTTATTTTGTTTGCTGTTTGATACAATCCTTAGATCTGGAAATTTTGTTTTGGAGAGAGTTTATACATAGCTACCTAATTAATTAACTACTATTTGTTCTTCACTTCTAACTTTTGGAGTAGTTTATTGTTTATTCTTGTGCTCCAATTATATCTTTGGAGTAAGAAATTTATGAATGAACTGAATGTTAGGTGCTTCGCTTATTATATGTATGTTGAGAAGTAAACATGCATCCTCTGTTTAATCCATTAAAGAGTGAGACTATGATATTACATATCTTTAATCAAGTAAGGGAGTTGTATTATAATGACAATGACCATTTGTTTATTAAAACCTATTATGTTGTGGTGATAAGTATCTTTCAGTGAAGGACGGATGATAGACTTGGCACATGTTTACACATGTTTGATAAATTCCAAATTCAGCCTTGGTGTTGTTTAAGTTTGTATGTTATCATCATGATTATATTTTCTCAATAATGTTACTATTAGAGAATGCATGATTGCGGTTCTTGTTCTTAGTAAAGTGGTCGCCCTCAATCTTTTGCTAGCCTTTTCCTGTACTAAGCGGAAATAATGTTTGTGCATCCAAAATCCTTGAAACAAGTTCATGACACAAAATGTCCACCATACCTACCTATAGATGGCATTTCACTGCCATTCCAAGTAAATTTGCATGTGCCACCTCTAAATCTTCAAATAAACTTCTGTTTTGTGTGTCTGTACAGCTCATGGAGTGACAGAGGTAGTCCATATATCCCCATTCTAAATGTGTTTTATGCACGAGGAGAGTTTATTCGCTTGTCAAATTTATTAGAAAGGATGGTATCAGGCATGCCCAGTCCCAATAAAATAATATTGAAAAAAGGACAATCCTGAAAAAGTTAGAAGTTGGCACGCACACATGGATTCGGCTAGCCATGGTTTGTGTTAGTAAGGTGGAGGGGGAGTGTAAAAGCATGAGAACCGTCATTAATGTGTTTATCATGGAAGATAGTGGAAACCTTTGCCATTAAAACGCTGACAGAAGAAATACACGTCTCAAAATAAATTTATATCTCTCTTAAACCAAGTGAGCTCTGACATATGTTAATTACTGCTTCCCTCCGTGAATGGCATATCTGTTTACTTTTCATGTTGAGTCAATTGCATCTTTCTTTATTTTGGCACCACGTGTTGAGCATGGGGATCACTCTTAGCTTTGCATGCATTTTCTCATAGCAATTTGTTAAGCATTGTATACATATGATGGTTATCTTCAAATTCGGGTACCTAGTCATCATCTGTCATTCATTGATTGCTTTATGTTTGCAATATAGTCTTGAAAGATTGCGAGATACTTCATTACCACTTCATAATATGTTGAACTTAATGAAGAGATGCTACTTGTTATCAGAATTATCATTACCTATGTGATCAATGGAGAAGACAAGACTTGAAGATGACGACCATTGCAACAACTTAATTGGAGGTGGTTTACGACTTTGACTCATGAACGCAATTAATCAGGAGCCTTCTCAGGCCCCATCAACCAGGACTTCACTGTCGCCCAAGTCATATTGGCCGCGCTAGTAGGCCACGGAGCGCTTATGTAGTGGGATCATGTAATTTGTTTCTTCGATGAGAGATTAATAAAGTACAAATTTTCCTATATCTATTTGTGTACTTAGTACAATGGCACACATGCAATGTTCATTTCCCCTGGTGCGTAGAGAGATAATAACATAACAATCATGTTATTTTTATTATTTCTTGTGTTAAACACCTTCATAAAATGCAAACATCATAGGCCAAAATAATACTCTTTGTGATGAGTCTATCATACACAAAGGCAGATGGATCCTCCGATGTGATGTCAGGCAATATCAACCTCAAACGGCTGGCCAAAACTTGAAAGCAATTTTATACAGAACATTGCACAAGCTTATAGGATGGAACAGAAAGAGTTAAAGTTTATTTTGTACCTTTGGTAGTAAAAGTCATGGATGCATTCCGCCCTCTCTTCCCCACAAAATTTTTCAACACCGTTTTAGTAATTGCCTAACCACATATACATCTTAATGGTGTTGGAAAAAATGAGCAGGATACCCACCCAGACAGCGCCTTAGTGGGGAAGATTTAAAAAAAAAAGACATTTTTACCTCACCAAGAGAGTAAATTGCGGCTAGAATCTCATATATAGCCGGAGTCACCTTTCTGAGGACGTTGGAGAGGAGCTCACGTATCCCGACAACCCGCTTGGTTGTGTAGAGGTTCTTGTAAAATCTAACGTCATAAGCATCATTACTTCCTGCCATCAGTCAACAGCCCACTTAGTTATGCAGTTCCAACTAGTATATGCACTTCAAACTAAATAATTTGAAATCTAATACCTTTTGATGAAACAAAAATCAAGGATGTGACTGAGATTTCAAAAAATAAATTAAAATTCATAACCAAACCAGGCAACACTTTTTTTCCCGAGGGAACACCATCATAACTGCCTTTATTTCATGTCAAAAATAGATACATCATCCACGACCAAGCTACGGAGGAATACCGCTAGCCCTACTAGCTAGCTCATGAGCCATACGGTTAGTTTCCCCGCGCACAATGCTTAATAAAAGACTAAAGTTATTACAAATATCTGATCAATCATTAAGAATAAGGATCGCTATTAAATTGACAAACCCTCGCTACATTTCATCCACAAGCTTCGCACAACCCAACCCGAATGAACCAGAAGATTATGAACGCCCAACAAAGCATCCATAGTTATTCCGACATAGTTAAACTCTGAGTGAAGTGCATCCTAGGTCCTTGAACTATTTTTAAGGTGTCACATAGGTCCTTAAACTATGAAAAGTGCCATATAGATCCTCAGAAATCCTTGAAGTGTAATAAGTGCGTATATATGTGACACCTCTGAAATAGTTCAAGGACCTACGTGACAACTTCGAAATAGTTTGAGGACCAGAATGGCACACATATTGCACCTTGAGGACCTAGATGACGACTTTCATAGTTTAAGGACCTATGTGACACCTCTGAAATAGTTCGAGGACCTATGATGCACTTCACTCTTAAACTCTTATTTCTCTTGGAAGAAATTCGGCAACCAAGTTTAACATTTCATCCGGTGGCTCGAATCGGGCACTCACTATTTTCGCATACCCGCTAGAACCCGAATCCACTAGCAGAAATGGGTTAGAGCTGAACCCGGAAGGGAAGCGGGACAGCTGGCCGCAAAACCCCCTCCCCTGTTCCTCGCTAATCCCCATTTCCCACAAACCCCCCGTCCCCTCGCTGCTCCAGTCCAACCACTCCGCCTCCTCCCAGGGCGAGAAGCTTCCAGGAGCAGCTAGGGTTTCTCGTACCGATCGATGGCGCTGGCCGTCGTCGTGGTGCTGCCCTCGCTGCCGCCGCCCCCACCGCCGCCGCCGGAGCAGATCGTCGTCGCGGTGCTGCCCTCGCCGCCACCGCCGCCCCCGCCGGCGCGGGTCGTCGTCGTGGTGCCGGCGCGCGTGCGCCTCCCCGGCGTCCTCCGCGTCGCGGCCTTAGCCCTCATCTACCTGGGCTTCGCGATTGCGTGGGTCATGGCCGCGGCCACGGCTGCAGAGGTCGTCGCGCGCCGCGCCTGGGGCGAGGGCTCCGCGCCAGTCCTGTTCCTCCAGGCGGTCATGTACGGGGCCGTCAAGGTTTGCGTCTGCATCATCCTTGCGTTTTTCGCGCTTGTCGTCCTGCTGCTGTGCGCCCAGTGCGTGGCCTACGTGATTGCACCTGTATCTGGATCCACTTCGGGATTCAAGAAGGTATGGCGCAAATTAACTTCATGTGATCTTTATTCCGGTCGAATTGCAGCTGTACATATACTCCCTGTTATTTATGTTCGAACTGCAGCTGTACATATACTCCCCGTTATCATTATGTTCTAATTAAGTGGTCTAATTAATTTTCGTAGTTCAGGCTGTCCTGATGCTGAGTAGTAGTAGTAGTTTTTTTTCATTTGTGTTCATCACTTCATTTGCAACCTACCATTTCCGAACCATTCCATATTTAATGTTCATCCGTATGGTTTTGTTGAAATTGTTGTCCTCCTCAGAGCACCTTCGGAGCAATCAGGCCAGAATTCACTGCACACTTTTTTAGGCTTCTGCGCCCAGCGGTGCTTGGATTTGTCGTGGATTTGGCCTTCGTCCTGCTAGCGGTCGCTGGTCTTCTGGTAGAGATGATGTCGCCACATGTGAAGGGATCGATATCTCAGGGGGAAATGGTCGGTTCTGTAATCGAGGATGTGGGGATATTTGGTATGCACGCGACAGTTTGCTTTCTTATCATCCCAGCTCTCGTTCTCAGTGTTTGGAGGGAGTGCTAGGTGGACAGGAACGCACCATCGCAGCTCTGTTGAGGTATATATATACCTCCCCCTTTTGCTTTGCTCCCCTGTATCTGTGAGCCATATGATCTTTCTCAATTATAATCTGCATATTTTGTGTAGCCTCTTAATAGCACGAAAACAATCAGTGTTGTTAGTTTGCCATCATTTATCTTATCTTAGTGACTATTGGTGTTGATATTTCTTAAGATGGAGCATTGTTCCATATAAAACCAATGATCATTTTGCTATTTCCTCTGGTCATTGCCTATTACCATTCATGATGAAATTGGGATTGACATCGATCTTAAATTGTGCAAGGTGCCAATTGTTGCAGTTCTACACTTCTACTGTATGCCTTTGTTACGAAGTGATGATCATTATTCATTAAAATGATCGATATTCCACATATTAGAAAAAAGTAATATTAACTGTTTATGCTCCATGGTCCCCTGTGATTGTTGTATCATTGCAGCGAGTGAGATTATAACAATGTTTGCATGCTTCTAAACTGCTTGCAAGCACCTTCTTTGAGAATTCTTGTCAGTGATAATTTCCCCCATTGAAACCAATGGGAAGACCCAAAGTTTACAAGTCTTGGCTATGGCGTATGAGTCTACTCTTCTTAGCTGCATTTGGCAATTATGACTTTGTGCCATGTTTCGTGACTCTGGTAAAAAGAAGTAAACTATTTGATCATGTAAATAAATAGCATGACGGTAAAACGACACACCTCTAGTCCTTTTAACAATGACCCGCTATGCCCAGTACATTTTAGTAGAATTGCCATTGTGCCTTTGTCCGCTGTTCTGTGACTCAGTTTAGTGCTTTTATACTTTAGTAAAAGAAAGTAAACTGTTTAATCATGTACATAAATAACATGACAGTAAATGTATGCACATCTAGTACTTTAAGGTGGTGGTATGCCACTACATTTTGATAGACGTCTCTTTGAGAACAGTTAATATCTGGTGTTGGAAGTTCATGTCATCAGTTGTGTGTTTGTTAGCACTACCAATTGAAAGGATGAGAAAGATTCGAATTATGTAATATCTCACAACATAGAAGTTACCCCCCTGTGTAAACTAATATATGACTTTTTATATCAGTAAAGTAGTGATAGTGATCTAAAATGTCTTGTATTAGTTTAGTGATATAAAAAGTCTTATATTAGTTTACAGAGGCAGTACTTCATTGCTGGAAAATGAGTGGCATTGCCTTTAGATTTATACTACTTGAAACTAAACTGTTGGATGGTTAATGTTGATATGACGATGTTCTTATATGTGGTAATATGATCAAATTCTGGTTTGGGTTATTGGCAGATGAAGCTAAGAAGAGAAGGTGTCTGGAGAATTTTGCAAGGAGCTACAGTACCCATTCAGCTGATGGTTGTGAGTGATCCCAGCAGATACAAGTGTTCAGTGGAAAAACAGAGTTTTTGCAGACTTGCTTCTTTCTGTTAGTAGATCCTAATCGTCGATAGCCGTGAAAACTTTTGAAGACGTGCTTCTTTCTGCTATTACTAGATCCTAATCATCAATAGCCATGAAGTTTCTTTGGTCATTATGAGTCAGGTGGTGATATTCGGTACTCCTCCGCGCTACTTGCTTACAAGTTTGCACTAGAGTATTGGTGTATATATGATGGTGGAATTGATTCGTGATCTTTGTAATACCCTATTGGAAGAAAATGCTTCCATGAGACATTAATCTCGTGAATTCATTGCCGTCGGTTTGCGTTCTTTCATGTTGTATGCACGATAGTAATGTTCTGCCGGTTGGTTATGCATGTGTTGCCATTTTGAATATCCTTGTGGTTATCTACTGCCATCGTGGTCGTTGTATGTTGCCTCTACCTGCTGGCATGCTTGTATTGTAGTGGCTGCTGAACTTCATTACCTTTTTTTTAACATTATGATGATTAGTGGTATGACTAGAGGTACAAATTTGTATTATTGTTGAATATTTGGTAAATAAATTAGCGTCGAATCTATATATGTGTATGTTAGACAGACGCGAGTCAAGGAAACCATGCATTAAGAGTGCACCACAAAGGCGCGCTAGACATGGAGATGGGAGCAAAAACACCACCATCGCCACGTTTGGGGCAGGTATTTAACACATACAGTAGCATCGATCCGACAATTTGCTTGATCTAACGGTGAGTCTGGTCGGTGGGACCCGTTTATCACGCCCACAATACAAACCATAATAACCAATGAAGACCTAATTAAGTGCTACTCTCTCCGCCAAAAAAACTTGTCCCAAGCTTATTCTTCAAATGGATGTATCTAGCACTAACTTAGTGCTAGATGCATCCATTTGAGGGACAAGCTTTTCTGGACGAAGGGAGTAGATAATATGCTCCTTCAAATCATAATAACCAATGAAGACAGGATAGCATGACCCTCTCACTCCTTCAAGTGATTGGTTCCACATTAAGAACCAAAATTTGATGGCATATTTAATGTAGGCATAGTTATATTTGCATATTAACAAAATAATAAGCCTTACAAAAGGAAAATTCTTACTATTTATACTGGTCTAACAAACTAGAGTACCTCGAAAGCAAACAACCTTGACACCAGCCGACGGGTCCGGGTGCCGGGGAGCACCCTTGCCGGTCCCATTTGGTCTGACATCGAAGGAGTCCAACAACATGACCCCGAGCTTGGCGTCCCACCACAAACCAGCATAGTGAACGTTAAACCTCAGACGCCTCCATCGCATAATACTTCGACCCTATCTAAAACGACATTACTCACTTGTAAAATATATTTTCTTGTTAAGGGCAATCAAGCTCCTTCATCTAACTTTTTACTCTTAATATGTAATTTGAACTCATTCAACTTCAATTTGAGAATCGTTGTGTTTACGGTGAGTTGCAACAACGCCCCATATTACACATGCCACCCAACTATGCAGGGAGAGGGCACATATATAGAGGACCACACATCGAGCGAGCGAACGTTGCTCCACCTCAAAGCTTCGCTGCCACCGACCATCGTCGAGCAGGACACACTTCCAAGCACCAATGATGGGAATGATAGTGGCAATCTGAAAGAGGACGAAAACATATTTGTCTACTAGCCTTTGGAAACAGAGGATCAAAAAGCTGACCAATCCCATAGATCTTGTAGCACTAAATTCACCGACGAGGGAGAAGCCCTAGAACGGGGGGTGGCCTCCCTGTGGAAGTGAAGCAACACCAATAGCCTCCATGCATGTCGAGGATTTGCACCCAAAGATCACAAAGTAGGCCTCCAATGTAGGAGGATCAGAAGGGTGGTTGACTCTATACGTAGGATGTTGACGGAAATTCCCCTAAAGCTCGAGCAAAAGAAAAGATAAGACACAATCCCCAACTCAAGCAAAGAAACCACAAAACATGGGGGGAAAATGACATGTGCTGGTTTCATTTCAAAGGAGTCTGTTTCAGTCTCCAGGACGCCAAAAGTGAAGCACAAGATCATTGGGTTATCTGATATTCATACATCTTCAGAATCGTTGGTGGATAAACTCGCAGGAGAACAAGAACAGAGGAAAGTAGATTGATCCAGAGAAAGACATGGCACCTCCCATCACTGATGGCTTCACAACAACGTGATATCAAGCTTCGAAATGAGAGAAAATGCCACGAAAAGGCTCTAAAATGTATGGATGGTTATTTAGGCTGGGATAATTGAGCTAACCAGGGCATAGACACCATCAAATACAAAAGCGGCGATGCCAAGGACAACCATGAGTTGCCCCTGGATCCTCTAATCCGACGGTAAGCACCCATATCTAGCCATCAAGGACGCATGGAGGAACTACCCTATTACCACCACTACGAGAGATCTACAGAAATCTATAAGAAGGGACCCTCACCTAGCTCGCCGTCAGCGATGGCCGGGGGGAGAGTTGAGGGGCCGAAACGAAGAAACAGAAAGAGGCTAGGAGTGAGAGGAGGGATCAAGGCACTGGAAAAAGAGAAAAAAAATATCAGAAAAGTCAATATGTATCAAACTTCTAGCAGGAAATTACAAAATTACAAAAATAAACCCCAACTTCTTTTTTTTTCAAACTTATGAGCGCAACATATCTGAATATTTCGCCCGTTGCCTTGACAGTGAGGAGACGATTGTCAATCTCGCAGAATCGATCCGGGCACACGCAGCCTTTCAGCACACCCGGTTAGAACCAAAATCCACTTTAGATTACGGGTTAAGAAAACAATCCGAAAGCCGAACAGCTCGCCGCAAAACCCCCTCCCGTGTTCGTCGCTAATCCCCATTTCCCACAAACCCCCTCCCCTCGCTGCGCCAACCCAACCACTCCGCTTCCTCCCAGGGCGAGAGGCTTCGAGAAGCTAGGGTTTCCCGCACCGATCGATGGCCGTCGCCGACGCGGTGCTGCCCTCGCCGCCGCCGCCGCCCCCGCCGGCGCGGACCGTCGTCGTGCGCTTCGCCCTTGCCCCGATGCTGGCTCTCGGGCGCGTCCTCCGCGTCGCGGCCGGAGCGCTCCCCTACCTGGGCTTGGCCGCTGTGTGGTTTACCTCCGCAGCCTCGGCTGCGAAGGTCGTGGCGCGGCGCGCCTGGGGCGAGGACTCCGCCTCCTTCCTCTTCCTCCAGACGCTCACGTACGGGGCTTTCACGGTGTTGGCCTGCGTCTTCCTTGTCTTGCTCGCGCTTGGCGTCCTGCTGCTGTGCCGCATGTGCGTGGCCTACGTGATTGCAGCTGTACGTGGATCCCGCCGCGAATTCAAAGAGGTACCGTGCAAATTAACTCCCTGTGACATTTATCCTGATCGAATTACAGCAGTATGTAGGCTAGTGTTTCCATTTGAGTTCATCACTTCGTCTGCATCCTTCCATGTATACTCATGCCCGTCCATGTGGTTTTGTTGAAATTGTTGTCCTCCTTAGCGCGCCGTGGGAGCAATCAAGCCGGACTCAGCTGCAGACTCGTTTAGTCTACCCCGCACGGCGGTGCTTGGATTCATGGCAGATGTTCCTT